TTGCTCATGAGATCACTCATACCTGACCTAACCTCATCACCTGGTCTCATGACTTTTGGTTTCTCTTACTCTAGTTAGACACCTGAGACTCAAAAATGGCCAGGAGTTGTTAGGCTACAGTTTGTGAATTTCCCACATATGCTTGCATGGGCCAATGAATTAAAATGAGCTGTCTAGCTAAATCTGCCACTATTATACCTCGGTATTGTCTGAGTTGTTGATTATTGCCTGTCCCTTTGAAAAAAATTAAAAAATGTATAGTATTTTTGAAAGTGAGAGGAAGCTAGCTACTAGCTCGAACTGGTTAGTTCCCCACTTCTCTGTCTGGTTGTTGTATTTACAGAGGAAGGAGGAAGTGACCATATAAATATAATTACTAGAACGGGCATCCCAGTTAAAGTCAATGTTCTATAATTCTATTTCTAATGAGGTGACCTGTCCTCAGCTTCCTCACGCCTCTGTCTCACTGATTATCCTGCATGTTTCCAGATTCTCTGAGTGAAAACTACAACTGTAATCATCATGGATAACAGGAGTTATTTATAGCAGCTTGTCTTCCTTCCAGCATGGGGGAGTAATGAGGAGGGAGCACTGGAGCACAGTCATCATTTAATGAGTGAGGTAGCTCTAACCCTCTCATCCACAGCTAACGCTCTCAACTGCTAATCACACACACACACACACAATCAGAGCACCATCGCTAGACAGAGAATCAGGACGAGGGAGCTTGCTATATACCTAAACTCTACAACACAGAGCATGAAAGAGCCCCAGTCCTCCTACTGAAAGCTGTCTGCTACAGGTTATTTCTGGGCTGTCAGTAGTATTGCCAGTACTGTGTTGTGTGTAGTCTTTGAAGCAGGCCGGAGAGGAGAGGAGCTGAGGCGGCTGTCTTGGAGGGCTCAGTAACACAAAGAGCCCATTTAACCACAGATCAAGGCCCAGGCTGTACACTGGGCTGTCCACGCCTGCCTACCCTTTGTTTCTCAACAGGGCCTCTCTGGCCACGGCTCAAGCCTGACTAAATGTGAATCATGGTATAAATATACCAAACATCCCCCTCCAAGATCAAGACACACATTGTTTTATGTAACTCTACTGGGACTTAGTGATTAGATAATCACCATTGTGGGGGGGCTTTGTTCCTGTCATATTTTTGTTCTGGAACATTAGATGTTGTTTAGCTAGATTTGACTGAAGTAATTTTCTTTGGCCCTATGCTACAAGGCTTAATATTCCTGTAACAGTTTCCATCAGATAGTATTGTTAGCATTTGCTACGTGAGTCAAATGGGTGAATGCAAGGCTGTGCTGACCTGGCTGAAACAATATTCACTCCCAGTGTTCTCCTACTGTTCATGGGTGTCTAGGAGGGGAGAAAAGGTCCCAGTCAGGGATTTGTCCATCTGCATTTATTTTCAACAGGAATGATAGTGTTCGGTGGTATTGCTCTCGGTATTCGATGTGTAGTACTAATGCGTATCATAGCAACAAGTTTCACTGTTCTTTTAAATAGTGTCCTTGCAGATGGCCTCTTCAGGATTGTTCCCAGCAGTAGTATATGTCTTTTTATGGCTGTAACAGCCATGCATAACGTCATCAGATTAGGACCTGATTTCTGCAGTGTTTTCTCTGTACCAGACCCTGTTCTACACTCTACTCACACTTCACATCAAGCTGTTTAATCGCTGCTCCAGATTGTTGTGAATCATTAAAAAGAGAATCCCATCAGAGAAGAAGACGAGAGCAGAGTTTAGCTGTACTGGAGTAAACAGTCCTCAGTGATCAAGAGCTCCTCTCTCTCTCTCCTAATTTATATCTCTTTTCCTGACTCACTAACCACCCTTCTCTGAACCAGAGGCCTACCGATAACCGCTAAGTCCTGCGCCCTCATGACCGGTACTGCCAGTCACACCCTACCGACACGATAAGGCCCTTCCCAGTCAGACACGTCTCACTACTAAGGCCTTTCTCTGAGTCATCACACCAGCGAAAGGAAAAACCACAGGAGTGGAAGAGGGAGGAAACAATGGACGTTGAAGGAAATTCTTCAGCGTGTGTGTCTGTCTGCACTGTCTTCTAACATCTGGGCCCACAGCTGGAAGGGTGTGTGTGAGGGGGGATGGTTAGGGTAAGTGCAGGGAGAGGCAGTGAATTATAAGCCTTCTTCATTGTCTCAGGCTCCCGTATTTAGAGAGAGATCAGGCATTTATTGTTAATGCTGTACGTTGATACTCTGCTGGGAGTAGTTTGCGTGTGTGTATAGAGACAAATCTCTAAAATGTAATCTGGCCACAATTTTAATTTAATGTATCCTGTGTATCCAGTTACTGGCCATACAGAGTATGTATGTCAGTTACAGCCTTGCTCCCTTCCTCTCCCCTTATAGCTTCACCACCCCAGTGTAGTGTTCATCCTAAGACAAGGCCCCCTTGTCACATGGTCCACAAACAGCATGGACATTTTTCTCATGGCTTGGGCCCCCACTGTCTGCTTTGCAATGTACTGTTGGCTGAATGTATGACCTCCAGCCTTACAAACACTTGACAGGAATGTGTGGTAGGGGGGCGGCTTTGGCAAAATGGTTCAGGCCCCCCCACATAATGGTGGGCCGACTGTGGGAGTCTCAGGGGCAGACAGTGGGAGGGAGGAGCAGCACAAACCCTGCCTGCCTGAGCCAATTATGGACACGAATAACATCCACATTGAGCTGCATGAAAATCAGGGTCAAGGGGTTAACTATGTGTTCATTACAGAGATGTGGGGAGTTCAAGAGAACACATACCCACACCCTGACAGAACTACCATACTGCACATACCCACACCCTGACAGAACTACCGTACCTTACATACCCACACCCTGACAGAACTACCGTACCTTACATACCCACACCCTGACAGAACTACCATACTGCACATACCCACACCCTGACAGAACTACCATACCTTACATACCCACACCCTGACAGAACTACCATACTGCACATACCCACACCCTGACAGAACTACCGTACCTTACATACCCACACCCTGACAGAACTACCGTACCTTACATACCCACACCCTGACAGAACTACCATACTGCACATACCCACACCCTGACAGAACTACCATACCGTACATACCCACACCCTGACAGAACTACCGTACCTTACATACCCACACCCTGACAGAACTACCATACTGCACATACCCACACCCTGACAGAACTACCATACCGTACATACCCACACCCTGACAGAACTACCGTACCTTACATACCCACACCCTGACAGAACTACCATACCGTACATACACACACCCTGACAGAACTACCATACTGCACATACCCACACCCTGACAGAACTACCATACCGTACATACCCACACCCTGACAGAACTACCATACCGTACATACCCACACCCTGACAGAACTACCATACCGTACATGCCCACACCCTGACAAAAACAAGTGATCTCAACTCAAAGCATTCCCACAACCTGACAAAAACTACCCATACCCCGAAAACCCCCACATACCCACACCCTGAAAACACTAGCACTCCTCCTATCCACACCCTGAAAAAAACTACAACTAAAATATGTTGCTGGTCATGTCAATCCTGTAACTTCTTAGTCATATAATATTAGTAAGATATTCCGAGTCTGGCCATTCCAGACATGTTAGTGTGAAACAAGGGAAGAGTCCCCAGGATTCTTAGGCTATGCTTTGTCACTTATTTTGAACTCTCATGGCTGTCTCCACCCTGCTTCTCAGCTCTCCTAAACCAACATCTCAATTTCTGGGCACGGCACCAAATAGCTGGGACTCATATTTGTGCTGTCTTCACCAGGTCCACTCAGCATTAGCCAGACAAAACATGAACAGTCTAGAGGAGACCGTAATAGTCCTGATGATGATGATGAAGATGGGGATGAAGAGGAGGTTGATCACAATGTTGTTAGGCGTTGGCTCGTTTTTCTTTTTGTATCATTACAGCTAAATGCCTGGATACCAGAAGTCCTTGTTGTGCATCAGTCAGACTTCTAAAAGTGTATTTGTGGGTGCAGAGCTGTAATTTTAAAGCTGTAGGCCAAAGCACGGTCACGGGTGGAGCAGATATGTGGGGAGGACAGGACAGAGGGCGGTGTTAGACCCAGAGAGGGAGGGAGCTGCCTGTTTGTGGGATGAATTCACCACCACTGTCTGTCTGGGTTCTGGTGTTTCCTTTGTAAGTGTTACTGTTAGCTTAATCCACACTGGCAGGCAGCACTGAGGTCCAGGTAGACCTTGCTCACCTAGGATGAACCTCGAAACAAACTCAAGATGGTCCATCTTTTTATAGCAAACAAATGTTCACTTGCACTGTAAACCAGATTTAATCTGTGCAGGCTGCCTACTCATGTGCAACACGCGTTTATAATGTTTGCAGATTACACTTCACATTGGTACTCACAAAAGTGCAAGAGAGCAATTTCGGGGTCTGTCTCATCGCCAGTGATGCATGCAGTAACACGGACATGTGGGAACCAACGGTGGCGAAGCTGCTGTGTGTATGTGTGTGTTCAGTAACACTGCAGTGGTGAAATCCCAGTGGTCTGATGTGCAGTCAGTCAGTGTTTGGGGTATAATGGTCCTCAGGCTATCGCTCTCTCCTCTCTCTGTCAGTCCGCTGGGTACCCAGTAAAGAGCTGTGCCCTCCAGGCAGCCTCCTCTCCTCAGCATGAAACCCAGACCATCACAAGTGCTCTGCAAACGGAGAGAGCACATGATAGGCTTTTAAAACCATGACTGAGTATCCAGCCACCCAGAGACACTCCGAGGTCTACCACAAGTTAAATCTCTCTCAGCCTTTAGAAGAAAATCCTTTCCTTTGAATATCGTTTTTTACCCTGTCGACACATACATGACCTCCCGTGGACTTTTACCCTGGTTCAAAATGCTCATTATCACAGTGTTAACCGCTTACCCTCATTACCCTAATGCTGATAGTGACACTTCTCTCCCTCTCTCTCTCCCTGTCTTAGAGCGCAGCGATGGAGGAGACTGTAATATGGGAACAGCACACAGTGACCCTTCACAGGGTAAGTGTTTACCTCTCTCCGTTACTATCTCTCTCTCCTTATTCCTCTGTAGCCCTCTCTCCATCCCTCCATCATCATCCCCCTCTCTCAGTGCCGGGAAGGCCAGTTGCAGGATCAGGAAGTGTACTGATGGAGCACACAATGGGCCCAGCATACAGATGTCAGGAAGCTGTGGTGAGGAAGAGCGAGCTATGTAGCGTCCTCTTCCTGTGTGTTTCTCTTCTCTTCCTGTTGGCAGCCAGCCCCATGGCGCTCCAGGATCACAGGGAATACTGTATGTTATGTAGACTACACATTAACTGGTCTATGTTAGTACCTAGGGCTGGAAATTGCCAGTGACCTCATGATACGATATTATCGCGATACTTTGGTACTGATACAAAATGTATTGCGAAGGTGAAGGTAGATCGTCAGAAATGTGTATGATTACCTTGTATTTCCTCGTTTATTTAAGAGGGTTCTGTTCATTTCCTGTTCAGAGAATTGACAGGCAAGTGGGGTGCGTTCGAGTGCATAGTTAATGAATGGTACGGGTAGTGCTCTAATAGCTTATCCTGGGGGGGATGTACATGTTCATATCCCCAAATTATAGTTATTCATTAAATGGTTGTAGCCTACTCAGGGGTTTATTTTAGTATGTTTATGATTCAAACGTTTAGATTGTAATTCAAGTCTTTTGAATGTTAAATGATCAGTGTGAAATTGCCTGTTGTCATTGGTCATGGTTTAGTAGGGTATGACCTTGTTGTCTCTGTTTGGGGAGCACAGCGGACAGTCGGACTGCGGGTTAGTGGCTATTTGAGCCTTAGGTTTTTGTTCTTTGCACACCAGTTTGACTTTTTGGGTTTATGTCGTGTTTAATTTTAACTAATGTATTTTACACGCGGGTAATTTGTATGTCATGTAAAGTCGTTTCATTGGCAATGCTTATGGGAGGTGTAAGAACCCTTTATTGTCATTGTTTAAGAGACAGGACAGGGAACAGGTCGGCATGCTGCCGGTTACAGGCTATTTGAAGCCTGGGTTTTTCTTCTCTTTGATCAACAACCAGTTTACCTTTGGGGGGTAAATGTCTGTACAGTTTTCACTGTCTATTTTCTACACCTGCAAATAAAAAGCTTCACTCTGGGCAAGATAAGTCTCTATCTGCTGTTTCCTCCACACTGTTAGAATCCTATTGCTGGGTCAACTTCACAGTCACTGACAGTCATTCAATTAGCCATGTCAGCTAACAATTTTTAGATTGGTAAGTTATTTAAACTTGTAGTAATCATGGCCGAATACCGACCGGGCACGCAGGAAACGTGCCCAGGAGCCCTGAACTCCGGGGGCCCACATTGATTTTGTTAGTCACTCCCACTCAGATATCATATTAACATGACATAAGTCATGACAAAATGTGTAGAATTGCATGACATTTGTTATGAAATTGCTAAATTTACTCTCGCCCCATGGCAAAATGTGTAGAATTGCATGAAATTAACTTTAAAACTTCTCTCCGTGGTCAAAGGGGGAGGCCACTAAAATGTTTTGCCCGCGAGGGGGCATGTTTTCAGAAACTTGGATCCCAGGAAAACACAGAATTTCTCATTTGGGTCTCAGACTGAACTAGTTGAAGAACCCCTACACTAGAGCATTGGAAAGCAAAACAACTCTACTGTAACAAGAGTAGAATCACAACAGTGGTGAAGACAACTCCCTTAACAACACCATATTATTATTATCCCACTTACACTGGTATAGACCTACCACTTAGTTAACCCCATAATTGCACTGTAGTAAGCATGTCATTAAGTTGTGTGTGTTTACACCTTTCAATGACATACGCTCACAGGAGTAGACTAGTGAAACCTCAGGTGATGTGTAGACATTGTTAACTAGGATCATCTCATGGCTGTCTGGAGGGGTGCCATGTTTAATAACATAACGACCATAGGAGTTGGCTACACGACACTAACAGATCTGGGACCAGGCTAGAGGCATGCAGTCAATGTGTGGTTGTGTCAGCGAGCTGATCACCACCAGGGTTATTATAAGTGTCTGTGTGGCGTCCTGGCCTGGCCATCTATCAGGAGTCAGGACAGAGTCAGGCTGGCTGTGATAATAGAGGCTTCAGTTAGAGGTGACAGACTGACTAGAGAGGAGAGAGACCTGAGAGCAGATCAGATCACTGTGCCAGACACAACTCTTCTCTCTCTCTCTCTCTCAGGAGACGACCATGGACCTAACACACACTAATCCTAGTGCTATAGCAAGGCTAAATGAAGGGATGGTTTATAGCTTTTGATTGTGCTTAAATAAAATGACTAGAGTAGCTGTTTTTTTTCTTCTATGTATCATATCTGCTATTCTAACTGAACTGAGGGAGTATGCCCTATGTATTCTTCTACTGTGTACAGTATTATGTTCAAGTGCAAACATGCACTGTTGTCCCAGACCTCATGTCTCCAACTTCTGTTGTGTCTGTGTGCGTGATGTGTACAGGCCCCAGGGTTTGGGTTCGGCATAGCCATCTCAGGGGGCCGGGACAACCCTCACTTCCAGAGTGGTGAGACCTCCATCGTCATCTCTGACGTCCTGAAGGGAGGCCCGGCAGAAGGGCTCTTATCGTAAGTGCAGAAAACACTTTCAGTGGAGATTTTCTGTGAGCATGATTTTTAGTTCAGGACTAGGCTTAATCTGGGTCTGGGTAACCAGCCCTATATGTTACCGCTATGGTGTTGATTTGGGTGTGGTCAATGTAGATCCTGACCGTGATTGAACCTCCTTGTTTCTCTTCTCCTTCCAGGGAAAATGACCGCGTGGTAATGGTCAACGCCGTGTCCATGGACAACGTAGAGCATGCTTACGCTGTGCAGCAGCTTCGGAAGAGTGGAAAGAATGCAAAAATAGTGAGTTGTTGTTGTATTCCTCAGGGGAATGGACAACAGGCTAATCTTATTGTTTTGGTCCACCTTCCTCAGCAAGTACATTCCTCTTCTATGAATGCCACCCTAGGGATTTAGATATGTTTCTAACCTAATTGATTTGATAAGAGGTCATTTGAGGTGGTTGAGAATGACATCATGTCCCTTTCTTTCCCCCCACAGACGATCCGAAGGAAACGGAAGGTTCAGATCCCGGTGTCTCGCCCGGGGGACAGAGAGACTATGTCCGAACACGAGGAAGAGGACACTGATGAAGACGATGGTTGCGAGCAGTACAGCGGCCGCAGCGGGCCCACCAGCGCCTACGGAGCGGCGAGTGGCGGCACGGCCAGCAGGCGGACGAACGAGCGCGAGCGTGAACGCAGCAACAGCAGCCGGCGGGAACACAGTGCATCGCGAGAGAGGAGCATCTCGCCCCGCTCTGGCCGATCCCAAGGCTCCTCCACACCGTCCCGCCCCGCCAAAGTCACCCTTGTCAAGTCCCGCAAGAATGAAGGTGGGCACCGCAATGTCCAGCTTAGGTCTTCAGCATGAGTGATTGCATTTTGCGGTTTTCTTTCTTTTGGTATTGTCAGTTTGACCTAATTTACCCTCCAGTCAGTCAGTCAGTAATATCATGGCAGCCTAACGAAGGTGATCTGCCTCTCATCGACATAACTCTAGTCTGATGACAGGAGAGGACAGCTCTCCAAGGCCTCACTGTCACGACTTCCGCCGAGGCTGCCTCCCCTCCTTGTTCGGGCAGGTTTCGGCGTTCGGCGTCACCGGCTTACTAGTTACTTAATCATCACTCCATTTGTCTTGTCTTCAATCACACACACCTGGTCCTTATTCCCTCATTAGTAATGGTATAAGTGTTCCCTCTGCTTCCTTGGCTGTGTGGGTGATTGTTTATTGTGGAGGTTAGTGAAGCTCGGTGGAGCTCATGTATTGTGTATCGACTGGAGTATTTTTCCCGTGTGCCTTGTATTTTCCAGTGCGCCTGTTTTGTGCCCAGAGTGTGTTTGACGCATTTCTGCGTAAACCTGTATTTTGCGGATTAAAGCCTGTTATTCTGTGATTTACCCTCCTGTGCCTGACTCCTTCATCACCACCTCATCACAGAATAACAGGCTTTAATCCGCAAAATACAGGTTTACGTCAAACACACTCCAGGGCACAAAACAGGCGCACTGGAAAATACAAGGCACACGGGAAAAATACTCCAGTCGATACACAATACATGAGCTCCACCGAGCTTCACTAACCTCCACAATAAACAATCACCCACACAGCCAAGGAAGCAGAGGGAACACTTATACCATGACTAATGAGGGAATAAGGACCAGGTGTGTGTGATTGAAGACAAGACAAATGGAGTGATAATAAATGGATCGGCAGTAACTAGTAAGCCGGTGACACCGAACGCCGAAACCTGCCCGAACAAGGAGGGGAGGCAGCCTCGGCGGAAGTCGTGACACTCACTCAGATGAGCACAAAGTCAATGTCAGCTCCTCCACTCCCTCACTACCCTCCCTGACAACGCTGGTGATTGATTGGTGCTCAGGCAAAGTCTTGTGAATATATAGTGGCCATTATTAACAAGAGAATGACCCGTCCGCAGACACTGAGCTGTCTCCTCAGCCAATGAGATAAGATCTCCAGCTATCCTGTATGTCCTCTTTGGTCATGATACCCCTCTGTGAGAGGGAGATGAACTGTAATGGCTGCCATGAAACATGGTCTCCTCCTCACTCACTGCCCACTCACTCACTCTCTCATACTGTTTTAATATGACACATCAAGTACTAGCAGCAAATTGTTATCTTTATATCCATCTTAATGACCCTACTGTTTTTTAAGGTGTGGTATTGCACAGTGCTCTGCTAATATCGTTTTGTTGTTGTTCAAAGCAGAGTATGGTCTGCGTTTGGCCAGCCACATCTTTGTGAAGGACATCTCCCCAGAGAGCCTGGCAGCACGGGACGGAAACATCCAGGAGGGAGACGTGGTGCTGAAGGTGAGAACCAGAGACATGATGGGGCTAGTCGTTATAGACGATGACCTGGAGTGGGAAGGTCGCCGGTTCAAATCCTGGGACGGGCACTTAAAGAAACAGGGACTGAACTGCGATACAGAGCAGAAATATACTAAGCATACCACTTCACATGAGGCAATATTTTGGGCATGCAAACACTAGTAAGCTACTGTAGATATTGGAAGGTTGCCAGGGCCTCACAAAGAGTTTGAGGGGGGAGGGATATACAATGCACTACCTTTACACTAACTTCATCAACACAACCCACCGTTTCACTTTGACATCTAGCCATTCCACTGATTGATCTGTTTATATGTGCGAGTTCAAATTCATTAGTATGCCTCTCAGTCCCCAAGCAGGGCCAGGCATTCCATGCATTCCATCACTCTCTTTTGTTCCTGACCAGTCAGTCGCTGATGGGAAAGATGTACCTCATCACAAGAATGTACACCCTGGATTCTGACTGTTTGGTCTACTTCACTATGTTCAAAAGAGAGTCCTTGTATAGAACTCAAGTCTTACAAGTGTAGTAACTATGAAAGAGTGTACAAGAAAGAGGGATAACATGTTGTTGTGGGACTTTAGCCTTCCCATATAAACATTTTAACAAGGAGTGGTGATTTCATTTTTATGCAATATTATATGATGGTATGTTCAATCTCTCACTGCAAGTGACCATACGGAAAGCACTGTGCATGTGAAACATTTGCTAAAGCATATCATACATTTTTAAATGTCATTATAGATATTTTACTTCATGGTCAGGTATGCCTTTGGTGTATGTGTGCTATAGCATGAGTCCAAAGTTAAACTGTACAATGATCAGAATGAATCCTTCCTTAAACATCCTCTCCTCTTTTTCTCCCAGATTAACGGCACAGTGACAGAGAACCTGTCGTTAATAGATGCTAAGAAGCTGATCGAGAGGTCAAAGGGCAAGTTAAAGATGGTGGTGCAGAAAGATGATAGAGCCACGTTGCTCAACATCCCTGATATGGACGACAGCATTCCCTCTGGCAACAACTCAGACCGAGACGGTGAGAGAGCTCTGTGTGTTCTCTATAGGAGGGTAGCATCATCCAATCTCATGTTTAACAACCTCATATTGATTAACAACATTTTGTTTAGCTCACAATATGGCATGATATTGTGAGGGTGCAATTTTTCAGAGGTATTTGAAAAGGAAAGCTTACTACTTAATATTTTTTCTACTGATTTCTCATTTCTTTGAAGTTTACTTGTCATGGTTCAATCGTCATATTAAACACCACTTTGTTCTAACAGACATTTCAGAAATTCATTCACTGACATCAAACCATTCCACTCGATCCCATGATCGAGCACGGGGCAGTCGATCCCGCTCCCCTACCCGTTCTGAGCCCTCAGACCCCTGCCGACACTCACCACGGCAGATCAGCAATGGCAGGTAAGGAAAACACACACACGCTTCACACACACACACACACACACACACACACACACACACACATTACACAATCGTCATGGGACACACAGCTGTCATACATATCACACAGTCACCCACAGCGCTGCAACTCAAGCCTCATCATACATCATGTTAAAACCCATAAGTGGTTAGTTAGTGTTAATCACCAGCACTTCTAGAGGGCTGTGTATAAATCAATAGATAGTGAAGACACAGGATGAATAGAACAGAAAGATGTGCCTCTATAAACCCAGCAGTCCCATAATGACCTGCTGTAGGGGTCAGAGGTCACAGAGAGCCAGAGGAGAGGATATTGACGCTTTTCCACATAGATGTCCCATCCCCTGCACCCCTCCCTATAGCTCACCATATAGTCTCCCTATATACAGTGTCCATAATAACTCATCACAACCTAAAGGAAACCCCCACCACCAGCTTGAAATGGGCCAGAGCATCAGTCAGTACAGTGATAACTATATATTTGATAAACTGTCTAAATATTAACGTGCCTCGTTTCTTCCATTTTCCCAGTCATTTAAATGTTTTGTGTTTCTTTCCTCTGTTGCACAATTTTCTCTTCCCATCTCCTCAGTTGGAGGCTAAAGTAAGTTTGCGTGGAAAGCAGCAGTAACCGGCTTTGACAGACATGTAGTAGTGGTGACTGGCTTGCCTGCATAGCTGCCTTTGTAGATAGTCGCTAGACAGAGAAGTAGACCAGTAGATGAGGTGCCTTGACAGAGCGAGGCTTGACAGTTCCTCTCAGATTGGACAGGGGGCTTGGCACTGTTAGCCGGGCTGACTGTATGTAGTGTGTTGATGCCAGAGGGGCTGGAGGGAGGGATAGAGCTGTGGAAGGAAAGGCTGCTGCTGGTTTCTGATCACACGGCCTGCCTGCCGTATTTTTACATTTTTACATTTTAGTCATTTAGCAGAAGCTCTTATCCAGAGCGACTTACAGTTAGTGAATACAATTATTATTATTATTTTTTATTTTTTATACTCTCCCCCCCTGGGAATCGAACCCACAACCCTGGCGTTGCAAACGCCATGCTCTATCAACTGAGCTACATCCCTGCCGGCCATTCCCTCCCCTACCCTGGACGACGCTGGGCCAATTGTGCGCCGCCCATGAGTCTCCCGGTCGCGGCCGGCTGCGACAGAGCCTGGATTCGAACCAGGATCTCTAGTGGCACAGTTAGCACTGCGATGCAGTGCCTTAGACCACTGCGCCACAGCAATTAACCAGGATGGGGATGGATTGCCCAGATGGAGCTCGTGTCTCTCTCTCTGGCAGAAGGCTCTGAGCCCTGGAGGAGAGGCTCTGTAGAACGAAAGCCCTGGATTCAAAACGAAACGCAACACAACTCAAGTCAAGTGTTCTGCTTCCAAACTCTACCATTTGCTCTATGCCCTCTCCTGGTGTGGCTATTGATGCTGCAGAGCACATGTATGGAAGGTCAGATACCTGAAAATGCCCTATTCATTTGAGATTCTGCAAGCATTGGATCTGTCTATTATTTTTGAATCACAGTGAACAGTCCTATTTATTTGACAGATTTCACATAGATTTAGCATCCCATAGCCCCCTGTAGTTGCTGAGCACTCTGTGTTTGTACCTTGTCTTTAGCTCTCTCCTCAGTGCTGCTGTACTGTAGTGTGTTGTAGACATCCTGATATGATGGTATTAATGCAGATAAGCAGCTGTACCATTGATCTGAAATGGAAAAACTGACAGCCGGTTGGTTGGTACTTCGTGGCGGCACTGGTCTCTCCTCTCTGCTCTGGGTCTAAACCCCAAGCCCTGTCAGCCCATATGGAATCAGATGAATGGCAATCAACAACTCCATGGAAAACGTAATTCCCACTGGAGGCAGTGGAGAAAATTGTGTAATGGCATTAAAGTCAGTTCGTGATAATAATAATAATAATAATATGCCATTTAGCAGACGCTTTTATCCAAAGCGACTTACAGTCGTGCGTGCATACATTTTTGTGGTCCCGGGGATCGAACCCACTACCTTAGCGTTACAAGCGCCGTGCTCTACCAGCTGAGCTACAGAGGACCACAGATCAGAGGCTGGAATGAATGCCTGGCTAGATAGATACTAGATATCTGGAGGGACCAATTGTTAGTGATTTACAGCTGCCTGTTTGTCACCAAGCCACTCCAGTAACCAACTGCCGTAAATCAGCCCCAATGTAACTGTCAACAACACTGTGGAATAACAATTCTTGTCTCAATGCAGGAACACAGGGACATTCTTACACAGAATACTCCCACTGTAAGTGTCACAATGTCACAAAACCACTGTGCAAGTAGTTGTTGAGACCATCCTAGAGTTTAGGCTAGTACTTAGTTTAGTACTATTGATCTACCTCTCTCTTTCTGTCTTGTTTTTTTCCACAGTTAGCCTTTAGGTTTGGGATATTGAAATGGTGTTTTATGTCTTTGTGTCCATACACAATGAGTAACATATTACATGTTGTATTCCTGAACCTTGTGCTTTGTATTGATGAGCCTTGAGCACTTTGTTTGAATTTTGGTAGTCTAGTTCTCCGCCATACATGGTTCGCGCTTTATGAATGTCAGGCAAGAGGGACTAGAATTTTGGTAAATGGCATGGACAGGGATTGGCTATAACCAGACCAGTATGCATGCAGGAGTCATCACAGTATGTATTAGCTATGCAGGAGGCCAGGCAGGAATTTGACACACTTCCCACAGAGATTTGCCCCAGTACCAGATGGTTCACATAATTGAGGTTTTCTCTATAGTTCAATAGGTTTTTCTCTTGTCCCTGTGAGAAAATATTCCATAATATGCAATCAGGTCGTCATTGTAATCAAGACTTGACTAATTGACTTACCTGTATAAATAAAGGTGAAATACGTCTTTGTGAGAGTACCATCTATTATGGTTTTCTATGCAGATAATTTTGAGGTTTTGAAGTAATTCATGTTCAGCAGTCTGAACTGTGACCTAGTGTTACAGTTAGCCTCCTGCTCAAATAACTAAATAAAAAATAGCTGTGCAAAAGTCCCATTTTAGATGGCTGTTTTGACAGTGGTCTATGGGAATTACAAAATAAAAGCATCCCTCTTTGCATGATGCGAAACATTTTATCACAGCAAGATCATTGTGGTGCTATGTCCATTTATACAGTGTAACCTTAGATTGACGCCACAGGAGGAAATAAGAAACAGATTGCAGATTTGTGCTTTGGTCCTTGTGTACTGTGTTTAGAAAAGGAGAGCAGAGAGAGAGAAAGGAGGGAGGGAGGCTAGGTGAAAGGACAGCCGTACGTAGGGATTTATGTTTAGTCTATGTGTTGCCTCTTAACACCATTCCGCCCAGGACAGGGCAGGGGAGATTTAGGACAGGGACGGGGACAGGGGCCGCTGCCAGGACAGGCCAACAGGCCCTCTCTGACTGACTGACGGACGGACAAATAGACAGATAGACAGGCGATTATAGCTTTGTTGAAATTCATCCCTTGCAACGCAGGCTACCCTGCATGTACTGCAGCCCTTTTTAATATCTCTTTATCTCTACAGTCCCCAATGCACTCTGAAATATAAAAGCATTATCAGGAATTCCACTGTTGAATAATTGTAATGGGAGACGTTTGATGGAGTGTTTTCATTTGTTCTCACAAAGACAGGAAATAGAATATTAGGAAAGGCAATTGTCACCATTTCACTTTTCAAGCTAACAGGTTTTGGTTTTGCTGTTGTTTGAGTCTGATTTTGTCTTTGGGAAGTGAGTGTTTGTTATCCTGTGACAGTCCTGTGTGAGGGAGTGAGTGAGTGTTGGGTGTAAGATGGTGGCACAGTCAGGCTGTAATGTAGCCTACCGCTACATTCCTCCCATGTAAAAAGCTGCTGGACGCTGGCTGGAGTGCTGTGCCAGCTCTGGGGTCATGTGACCAGACTGGAATTCGCCCATTGTTTGCCAAATAGAGCTGCAGTGCTGTTGGGGCTGCAGAGACGGAGCAGAGAGCGTTCCTCCTCCCTTGTTTTCTCCCCCTCACAAAGTACAGCATCTGATCTGAACACTCAGTGCCTGGCTGCCGTGAGCTGGAGCTGCGACTGGCTCTGGCAGGTATACAGTACTGCTGCTGTGGTTTGGGTTAGAAGGTTGAGAAGGGAAATGGAATGAATCATTTGTAATGCACACAGTTCTCAATGAAAACATTTTAGAAAAATGTCAGCTTCGGTATGACTCTGATTAGTGTTTCTGGTCTCTGTGTGGTTGTCAGTGATACTGTAGGGTTGAGAGGAGAGTCTCTAGACCACACAGCTAAAGGCACCTGGAGTCTGCGCTGCTGCTGATGCAGCCAATGCAGAGGTGAAACCGAGGCCAGCAGAGAATAGGTCTGACCCCATAAACATGTAGTTCAAATAGTTTGAGACGAAGACAGCCATCCTCCTTTTAACTGCTTATTGTTTTTTGGCCATTCTTTACTGTTCCTAATGCCTTATCATTCATTCCACGCTGTGATGTCAATAACATGGCGCTCTCATAACTACACACACACTCCATCACTGTAGCTACGTCCCAGGGCTAAAACAACAGGACCTTAGTCTTGTTCTCCACGCAGCCTGTGTAGTAAGCTCTGTTATTAGTTCTATAGAACAGATCCCCTCTCGTACTACATTGGTTTGTCTTCTATACTTTATCTATTTTAATTAGACTCAGGGTTCATCCATCCACCTTTCTATTCTCTCTTCACAATTGCTACCATTCTTCATCTCACAGTGTAGGCCTACAAAGGAAATAATGAACTGTTTCTTTTTCTAGCCACAGAAGTCGAGATGAGGAGAGGATTTCCAAGCCCGGGGTGATGTCGACTCCTGTTAAAGGGTCCCAGGAGGCCCTAGTCCAAGCCATCAGCGACCAGCCACTGGCCAGAGAGGACAAACTGCCCCCGCTGCCAGGTCAGTCAGGGCCCCCGCTGGCTCCACAGCAAAACCTGTCTAACTGCCTGAACCAAAACAGGCCGTGACACTCCTCTGTACTGTGCCTATCCCTCTCTGCTTCCCCCTCTCCTGCCCCCTCCCTCACCTCCACCCTGGATTGGAATGCACTCTGTACTCCTGTCCCACATATCAGAAAAGTCCAGCCCATAGTACTCTAGTCCATTCCTCTAGTGCAGCCTTTCTTAAAGTATGGGTCGCGACCCAAAGTGGGTCACGGACATGTTAATGGTGGGTCGTGACATGTCAGAGTAAAAAAATATATATATACACACTACCGGTCAAAAGTTTTAGAACACCTAATCATTCAAGGGTTTTTCTTTATTTTTTATTATGCCAAGAGTGTGCAAAGCTGTCATCAAGGCAAAGGGTGGCTATTTGAAGAATCTCTTGTTTAACACTTTTTTGGTTACTACATGATTCCATATGTGTTATTTCATAGTTTTGATGTCTTCACTATTATTCTAAAATGTAGAAAATAGTAAAAATAAAGAAAAACCCTTGAATGATTAGGTGTTCTAAAACTTTTGACTGGTAGTGTATATATATTTTTTTTGGAACTCAGTCGGGGGTCTCAACTTACTGTTGAGAGTTAGAATAGTATAATTCACAAGGTGCAATTTCGAAATTTGGTTGTGCCTCAGCAATTTTTCTCTTGTCATGTCAGTCACTGACAGTCACTTAATTAGCCATGTCAGCTAACAATTTTTTGTATTGCTAAGTTAGTATAGCCAGCTATCTACAGTAAACTTTTAGTAATCATGAACCAGAGGAGGCTGCTGGGAGGAGCTATAGTAGGACGGGCTCATTGTAATGGCTGGAATGGAATAAATGGAACGGACCTCACCTCGCTTTGTGCACGGGGGCATTGTCATGCTGAAACAGGATCTTCCCCAAAGTGTTGCCACAAATTTGGAAGCACAGAATCATCTAGAATGTAATTGTATGCTGTAGCATTAAGATTTCCCTTCACTGGAACTATGGGGCCTAGCACGAACCATGAAAAACAGCCCCAGACCATTATTCCTCCTCCACCAAACTTTACAGTTGGCACTATGCTTTCAAATCAAATTGATTTGTCACATACACGTGTTTAGCAGATGTTATAGCGGGTGTAGCGAAATGCTTTGGGGCAGGTAGCGTTCTCCTGGCATCTGCCAAACCCAGATTCATCCGTCGGACTGCCAGATGGTGAAGCGTGATTCATCACGCCAAAGAATGTGTTTCCACTGCTCCAGAGTCCAATGGCGGCAAGCTTTTCACCACTCTAGCCGACACTTGGCATTTCCCATGGTGATTTTAGGCTTGTGTGTGGCTGCTCGGCCATGGAAACCCATTTCATAAAGCTCCCGACTAACAGTTATTGTGCTGACGTTGCTTCCGGAGGCAGTTTGGAAGTCGGTAGTGAGTGTTGCAACCGAGGACAGATGATTTTTACGCACTTCAGCACTGTGCGGTTCTGTGAGCTTTTGTGGCCTACCACTTCGCGGCTGAGCCGTTGTTGCTCCTAGACGTTTCCACTTCACAGTAACAGCACTTAAAGGTGGCATCCTATGCCGGTGCCACATTGAAAGTCACTGAGCTCTTCAGTAAGGCCATTCTACTGCCAATGTTTGTCTATGGAGATCGCATGGCTGTGTGCTCGAATCAACTAATTTGAAGGGGTGTCCACATACTTTTGTGTATATGTAGTGTATTTTGCCGGCAAGGTCGGGGGGCACCTCAAACCAAATCACGCTTAGGGCCCCCAAAAGGGGGCATGTTTTCATGAGCTTGGGTCCCAGGAAAACACTGAGTTTCTCAAGAACCCCTGCTCTAGTGTTAAGTAATGTTGACCTATTCCTATCCCTTAGCTATTTAACCCTAACTCCGATATAGTCATAACCACTACATTCACATTCCTCTACCAGGTCAGTCTGTTTACATGTGTGTGTGTGATCATACTATCAGTATGTGACAGTAGTGTGTGTGTGTTGGTCCTGTAGAACCAAAGCCAGTGTATGCCCAGCCTGGTCAGCCTGATGTGGACCTGCCAGTCAGCCCCTCTGATGCCCCAGTACCCAGCGCTGGTCATGATGACAGCATCCTCAGGTAACCCTCAGTCCTCCTGTTAAAGCCATGTTATTATTTCCATTATGTTGTACCATGTTATTTGCTGAATTGTAATAGCTCCCTGTAGAACAGTAGTGTCTAAACGTCTGTCTGTGTATGACGCCCACTCCCCATGCAGGCCGAGTATGAAGCTGGTGAAGTTTAAGAAGGGGGAGAGTGTGGGCCTGAGGCTGGCTGGAGGGAACGACGTGGGCATCTTTGTAGCCGGAGTCCTGGAGGACAGCCCAGCTGCCAAGGAAGGTCTGGAGGAAGGAGACCAGATTCTCAGGGTAAGAAATCTATCTCATACAGTAGTATCTGCTTTACACTTTTGTATTATTATTAGCTGTTGGGTATGTTTCATCACTTAATGATTGTCACATGTTTTGTTAACAGGCCATTGTAAAGTTTCTCTTTTGAAAGTGCACAGGATGTGTGGTTTGATGTGTTCTTTTCCACAGTAGATAGTGTTAAAGGGTATGTTCTGTACTGTACTAGGTGGAGAACACCTGCTGTAGTGCTAGTAACGGTCTCATCGCTGCCCACGCTTAGTTGGAAACACTTTGTGGAACTATGTGACCCACTAGCCTTGTGTTACTGTGTGGTCACTGGTCATAGTGATGTTAGATAGAAAATGGTAATTACAGTGAATCAGTGTGAGGTTAACGCCTGGCTCTTCTCTTCTCGGTCTGTCTTTCCTTTGTTTACGCTGAACCACACAATAGAGGTCATTGTTGTTGTTCTCAGGCCCTGTCTGAAGGATTGGACTCATTGTTGATGGAAGTCCCCTCTGATATCAGAGTTGGATTCATTTAATCATGTTTATCACTAGCCACACATTTTAATGAAACACATCATGCTTTGTGTTCCTCCCACACCACATTAAGGGTCATGATGGTATGTGAGGAGGACTAACTCCTCTTTGCTAGCCTCCCTCCCTGCTGTACAAACACATCTCTAGACTCCGCACTATTCCCTATGAATGGGCTTCCAGGAATATGTCTCAAACAGCACCCTATTCACTATATAGTGCACTACTTTTGACGTTTTCACTATGTAGGGAAAAGTAGTGCACTATAGCTAATAGGGTGCTATTTCAGACACTGCCCAGGATGTTGTTTTCCACCCCTGGGCAGTGAGCCTGTGAGTGTTTCCTGGCCTTCACAGTGTGACTAGTTGAGATAAAGACTTGAATTCTCCTTTCTGAGGAGGATAAAGGTTGTTCTCTCTATGATTCAACCCCATGTGTTCCTGGTTCAAACGCTGGCTCTGCAGCAGGATAAATAAAGTTGATATTGTGCTGGGGACTGCAGGGGTTGAGGTGGGGAAGTAGACTGACCTGAACCCTGGAGAGCTGAAAGTCTCTGTTCTCCTCTCTCCCTCCTCTCTGTAGGTAAACAACGTAGACTTTGCTAACATCATCCGAGAGGAGGCTGTGCTGTTCCTCCTAGACCTTCCCAGGGGTGAAGAGGTCACCATTCTGGCCCAGAAGAAGAAGGATGGTGAGTAACATGAGGGGGAAAACAGATGTTAGATGAATGCACGTTAGGATCTTGACAGGGGCTGAGAGTGTATAGGTTTGAGTTTGCACAGAAACACACATTTTAAGTTAACCTGGTTACATGTGAACTTTACACACGCCTTCAATTGTAGACCTGAACATTTCTACCTACTTAATTTCTTCTTCTACCAATTTCCCTCAATTCCAGTGTACCGGCGGATAGTGGAGTCGGATGTGGGCGACTCGTTCTACATCCGGACCCACTTTGAGTATGAGAAGGAGTCTCCGTACGGCCTGAGCTTCAACAAGGGAGAGGTGTTCCGTGTTGTGGACACCCTCTACAACGGCAAGCTGGGCTCCTGGCTCGCCATACGCATTGGCAAGAACCACCAGGAGGTGGAGAGAGGCATCATCCCCAACAAGAACAGGTAGAATACAGTAGAGAGACATCATCCCCAACAAGAACAGGTAGAATACAGTAGAGAGGCATCATCCCCAACAAGAACAGGTAGAATACAGTAGAGAGACATCATCCCCAACAAGAACAGGTAGAATACAGTAGAGACAGGGGAAGGGGGTGGTGGTGGGGTCGACAGCATTAGTCAAATAAGACACCAGCAGCCTTCCTGTCGGTGTAGATATGGTAAACAACAACACTAACATAAGATGATGAACTAGGCTGTGTAAAGTAGGACACATTAACATCACCCCTAGTCTCAATTACGCGAGTGACAACTGTTCTAGTGAGAAGGCATTTGCACTATGAGTCCTGTGAGGGTAGGAGACTATCTATTCATAATGAAACAGCAGTCTCTCATGGTGTCTAGGCCTGCCCTGATCTACAGCCCCTGGCTATGTTTAGAGAGAGATAGAGATTCCACACCATGGTGTAGACAGGGGAACCTCACAGTGCTCCCAACATACCAGCGTGACACAGATATTTATCACATGCATACATTAACGTAACCATTATACATGGTGCACCGCGGCTACTCTGCCACGTTGTGTCCCTGGCCATGCCTGTGTCCTCTTCAGTCAAATGTTTACTGAATTCTAGATTCTATTAAGGTATAGAAGTATTTCAGAATAGAATAGAAGTTGTGGAGAATAACAGGGATTTACATGACACATTGGATAACTGCACTAATAAAAAATGAACTGATGCCATGTTGGCAGTTTCCATTGAAATCCAATCATTGAATCCATTGCCTGTTGCCTGACACCTCTCTGTTCCCCCTCCCACAGGGCAGAGCAGTTGTCCAGTGTGCAGTACACCCTCCCCAAAACGCCAGGGGGCGACAGGGCTGACTTCTGGAGGTTCCGTGGTCTGCGGACCTCCAAGAGGAACCTGAGGAAGAGCAGAGAGGACCTGTCGGCCCAGCCGGTCCAGACCAAGTTCCCTGCCTATGAGAGGGTGGTGCTGAGAGAGGGTAGGTGGTATCCAGAACAGGGTCCATGGATTCGTCACAATACCTCAACTAGCTTACCACTGAGAATGCTTTCCCAGTACATTGCTTCATTCTAAAAGGTATGCTAGTGTGAAAATTGGAATGCAGCCATGTGTTTGTTGGCTACAAATTCGGCCTTGAGAGGCATTGATTCTGTCAAATATGGTGTTGTTTTGTGTCTTCTGTTATCCAGCTGGGTTCCTGAGGCCTGTGGTGATCTTTGGGTCCATCGCTGACGTGGCAAGAGAGAAGCTGGCCAGAGAGGAGCCTGACCTGTTTGAGCTGGCCAGTGAGTAGCCTTTAGCTAGCCATTAGTAGCCATCTCACTGTCTGTCTCAGCCATGTCACAACACACAGCTGGAGGAACACAGGACTTAGAGCTGCTCTGTGTTAGAGATTAGAGGACCCCCTCATCTGCCTACTCCAGGTCCACTTGAGGGAATAGCTAGCTCCTTTAGCTTGTAGTGTTCATTCTAACACCCTCAACAGTATTGAATTTAAATTATCCTAAGTGCACTACTCCAAATTCCACATGTAAAGTGATTCCAGCCCTGGACGTATTTTGCGTAACCTATATCTCTGTAAACCTTGTATTTTCTTTTCAGAAACACAGCAACATGAAGGAGTGGAAAGTATGTCATTAAGTGCATCAACTTGTTTTTATCAGTGTTAGTTAGGTGGTAATGTATGGCCTGATTCAGCCTGTAGGGAGGTTGTGTAATGACTGACTGTAGCTAGTAATAGAGCATGTACACATGGCACAGTCAATATCCTATAGAAAATAAGCTGCATACATAACAGTACTAGTCTTCATTATTCATTCCCAAGCCCCTAATGTCTGTGTGTGGATAACACCATAATCTATACTTAAAATGTGAACTTTACATTTGATTGGAGAAGATGCCTTATGACATTGGTGTGTTTATGACTGAAATTGTAAGGGCTAGTGATGTTAGCACTCTGCTTTCTAGAATGCTGCTTTTGTAGGGTTGAGTGGTGGAAGATAAGAGGCCATTTCTGCACCAGATCCTGTGCTAATAGTGTTGAGATCTGAGTAGTGAAACTGCACCCAGGTCAGCTGGCCTCTCTAAGGGTCGTTACCTTGTGGTAGCAGATAGACAGATAAGGCCAGGCTAGCCATGTTTACATAATGAACCTTTTAGAACATTCCTGCTTAACTCCCCTGACATTTATATCCATTTTAAATTGAAATCATCAATCTATTTGAAATGATTCCCTATCTTCTTGAATGTGCATTATCCCACTTCAATGCTTTTCACACATGTAACACATTTCCTGCATTGCGGATTATACTGTACTGTAATGTCTGTAGTTGCACGTGCACATTCATAATGACACTACCTCTATTTTATGTTTTGAAATGTGCTTAAAGCATATTGCATGCATTGGGGTGAAGGTAATGAGCTGAGATGTATAGTGAGCTCTGCAGTAATATGGCACAGTAACACTGTCCCTTCTCCCCTCTACAGAGAGTGAACCAAGAGACGCAGGAAAAGACCAGCGCAGCTCCGGGATCATTCGCCTCCACACCATTAAACAGATCATTGACCGGGTGAGTGAGACCACTTACTACACGGATACGCATGCAAACAAACACACACACACACACACACACACACACACACACACACACACACACACACACACACACACACTCTTACTTAAAGCACATGCAGTACACACACACATGCATCGATACAGACTCATCCATGGCTCACTACTGCTCTCTGGTGTTCATGGAATTATGAACATTTTTATTTGGCCAATATATGAAAAATATAGTTAAAAACAGCAATCTGAGCAAACCTTTTAGTATTTAGATGAAATATTAATTATTTATTTTGGGGGGGATGTCCTTAGGACAGGCATGCTGTGCTGGACATTACCCCCAACGCGGTGGACCGTCTGAACTACGCCCAGTGGTACCCCATCGTGGTGTTCCTCAACCCAGACAGCAAGCAGGGCGTCAAGACCATGAGAACCAGGCTGTGCCCCGAGTCCAGGAAGTCAGCCAGGAAACTCTACGAGAGAGCCCTCAAACTGAGGAAGAACAACCACCACCTCTTCACCAGTGAGTTTCTATGGGAGGGAGGGGAAGAGAGAAATAGTGAAAATGAGTGGGAGGTAGAAATAAAAATGTCTCTCAGAGAGAGAGAGATGGAGTGAGAGAGGCTAGGGCTGCGTGCTGTATTGTAGTGTAGGGCTGCGTGCTGTACTGTAGTGTGGACCAAGGGCACAACTTTGGTTATAATCCAGTCGGATAAACACTCCAAACAGCCTACCCGACCGCTCGTAGGCGACCGCATGGTGCTAAAGCACACCGTTGCCTCGTTTTGTATCACATTCCAATGATAAAACTGGTGGGGGGATTTACCCCAGTGAAAGTGGCACCCCTGGTGCGGACTATGAGCCGGTGACACAGTACAGTCAGTGTCTTAGCGGGGTGCTGTTCTCTGTGTCCCCTCCTCCTCACGCAGGCAGGGCTGCTCAGGGCTCCGAGCTAACCTCTCACAGGACCCCAGCCGTCATTACCCATTCCCTGCACAGCCCTGCCCCGTTTGAAATGGGATGCGTCTCCTCATTTTTGACCGTCTGCTGGCAATAAAGAGAGAGATTCCAGGAGAGCAGAGAGCACACATCCAGCCTCTCCTCTCTCCTCCACGTTGAGTTACTCCACATGGGTCTGTAGATGAAGCACACTGCCTGGTATTTTTAGAACAAGCCTATAGAGAGAGAGAGAGAACAACAGATAAGTGTCACCTGTGGTATTTGTGTAAGGTCAAATAGATTGACACCTGCCAGGCAGCACCTTAAACTTGAGTGTTGTTGGACTCATGACAGCTCATAGTTAAAACAGTGGTAATAAAATGTTTGCACACTGCAACAACCGGTGCTGAGCCAAGACAAGACAGGCTTTTAGCAAACAGCTTTGGGATGATACAAGCAGTGATACTAGAAATAAGCTTTCCCCTCATGTAGAATAATAATTAATCATCAATCTGAATCAATGATAATTACTTACTAGTTCAGGGCCCGGCTTCCCAAAAGCATCTTAAGGTTAAGTTAATTGTTAGAACCTTCGTAGGAGCATCGTTAAATCTCAGAGCTGTTTCCCAAAACCATTGTTATTGATGTTGCACTTGAAAACAATCGTAATCTAATGCCTGCCACAGACCACTCATAGAACAGCTAAATGCGTCTATTTTTTGCCCTCCCGCGTCACTTTATACACAGAAGATCTCTGCTAAACATAGAATCACATGGTTTATCCGTCTCTCTGTGACTGCCAATAACTTCAGAACAATGTTGACTACAAAATACAAAGTTGCCAATGTCTTTGCAATTGATACAAACAAGCTGCGTATAAAAAGATGATTCAAATGAAAACCGAGATGATTGCATTCAAATATAAACACTAGGCTATAGGCCTATTTCAATCATATTGAAATACATTTTATGTTCAATCAATTTAGTTATATTTTGCTACTTGTAGGCTACTGTCTGTAATTTGTCTCAATACACACTGAGTGTACCAAACAAATACACCAAACAAATATCTCTCTAGGAGCTAATCCGTTGTCAGTATTGTGAAATCATTTGAATGTTAAGGTAATATTTTAATGGAGAAAGTTGATCCTAGAGCAGTGCCTCCTTTCTGTGGATCCTATCAGTATCGACACATGCTCCAACGGCGCGATAAGCCACCATTCTCTCTGCCAGGTGTTTTCAAAGTTCCATTGCCATCGGGAAACCGGGCTCTGGTGTGTTTATCATAATGGTTTTTCATGAGGTTATGAGAACAGTTTTTCACAGTGATTATGATAATTGTGTTATTGGTTGTCTGGGTTCATTTGAGGTGCTTTGTCTCTGCTCTTATCCTTCCCAAGCCACCATTAACATGAATAATATGAATGACGGGTGGTATGGTGCACTGAAGGATACCATTCAACAGCAGCAGAACCAGCTGGTGTGGGTTTCAGAGGGCAAGGTAGGACACTCAGCACTGAGACTAACATCATCAAACACTTACCAATACATTTCACGTTAATGAAAATGTTCTATTCAAAATAAATGCCGGACAATTTTTATATACCATTTATTTTGTGCATTAATTAATAATAGTTTTTCTTTGCCATTCATTTCTCTGTCTCTCCTCACTGTAATATTGCTGCTTCTGCTCTTTCTTTCTCTCCATTTCCCCTCTCTCTCTCTTGTCCCTCTCCCCTGCTCTCCTCCTGTTTTGTCTCCCCAGGCGGACGGTGCTCCAGATGATGACCTGGATCTGCATGATGACCGACTGTCGTACCTGTCGGCTCCGGGCAGTGAGTACTCCATGTACAGCACAGACAGCCGCCACACCTCCGACTACGAGGACACGGACACAGAGGGCGGGGCCTACACCGACCAGGAACTAGACGAGACGCTGAACGACGAGGTGGGCCTGCCCACTGAGCCCGCCATCACCCGCTCCTCGGAGCCCGTCCGAGAGGACCCTGCCAGTCATCCAGGAGCCCCTGGGGTACGGCGGGTACCAGCACACAGTGCAGCCCGACCCCCTGAACCGGATCGACCCAGCCGGGTTCAAGGCACCAGTGGCCCAGCAGGTACCGTTTATGAGAGCCGTGCATCTGCCCTGTTGTCTGGAATCCGTGGTGTGCGTGAGGAGGGTGTTCTGGCGCCGCTATTGAAGCAGTGTTTTAAAACAGTATTATCTACTAACACAAAACAAAACAAAGAAAAACAAAAAAGATGGAAAGAAAATGTGTGGCCACTTAAGTATTTATTCACTATCGTTGTTTGTGTGTGTGTTTTTTTTATTTTTGGAGAAAAAAAAGCAAGAATAAGCTTGACTGTTATAATCAGTATTCACGACCTGTGTTAGTGTGACTGTTTTTGTTGATGTCGATGTTCTCACTGAGGATAAGTTTTGTGTCTGTCAAGTGTCTGTATCGGTACCCACCTATGTGCTCTTCCTAGTTGTTTCACTTGTGATTCGGACTGATACCGTGATACCAGAAAGTATTATGTGCATGTTGGAAATGTCAGTGTTAACCACGTATTGCTGTAAATGTATTTATCTGGGTCGATTCGGCCGGTATGATATCCACAAAAAGTTTGTCTTCTGATGTGTAAACAAAAAAAAAGAGAAAAAGGAAAAGAAAACATTGTACTGTAATCTAGAATTAAAATCGAATCAGACTACATTAACAACAGAAACTTTGTCCTGTTGCAAATTCTTACATGGCAGATTGATCATCTAAAGCCATCAGTTGAATTTGGTCCGAGGATGGTGAGTTAATGAGTCGGTCGGTGGAGGAGCTACAGAGCCGAGGGGCTGTAAGACGCCGTAACGTTAACATTAGTGAGGGTGTATCTCCCTCCTGCAGTTGCACCGTGTGTTAAACGTTTCTGAACCACTTCACAGAATGAGAAAGCAGAGGCTGTTCCGGCCACCATGCCTATCCTCCCCCAGCAGCCTGAGTTACTGGCTGTGACAGAGGCAGCGCCCCCTGCTGTCTACAACACTGTAAATGGTGTAGCGGGTTTGAGCCATGGTTTGAGCCCTGGCCCTATCGCTGCTCCCCAGAGCGAACCCAGCCCAGGCCCCGGCCCCGAGGCTGACTCGCTTAGGATGCCCACCCCTGATCTAGCTCAGCCCCTGGCCCCGGCCCCAACACCCGAACCCCTACAATCCGGAACGCCCAGTTCAGAACCACAGGTACCCATCGTCTGGACGTGGCCTGGCCCGGCCGACCCCGCTGTCGGTCCGCTTTGGCCTGTCGCTGCCTGCCTGTGTACCGCCCGCCACGCTTTCCTTTCACTCTTGCATGCCTGCCCGCTGTCCACTGTGTGCTTCTGAAAGAGAGAGACTGTGTGTGTCTGAGCACTCGTAAACAACAGTGGGCTTCTTGGAGGAGTGTATAGACTGATTGCTGCATTGGTGTGGTACCTATATAGAGAAGAGCAGCGAAGAACCTGAGGCTCTCACTGTTGCTTACCCTCTTTGCATGGCTACAACATGTTTCAGTTGGTTTCTCTTTTCTGTTTTAAACGTAGCAGTAGAACTGATAGTAGTGGTGTATTGGTTGATGCAGACTGAATGGACCATTTAATTATATCCATTTATTTGGCGACATTCTCTTAAAGTCATCAATCAGTATTTTTGACATTTTATTGGACGTTTTATTCCCTGAATTTGAAATGTAGCCATTCTGCTCCAACTGTGGCGTATACATCTTATGGATTTGAAACATCCCATGAAGTTAATGTAAATAATGACTTTCTGTTGTTCAATGGCTACTTTTCAAATGCCATGGTTTTTTTATATAGGTTTACATTGTACAAAAAAACGTTTGCCTGGAACGTTCTAGATATCTTATTGCGGTAATTTTAATTTGGCTTGTAATGTTATCAAGATATAGTTTTTTTATTTTGTATCAACTTTGTTAGTTTTGTTTTTGGGTTGCTGTTTAAACTAAAGTGGTATGTTGTTGTGTATATATATTGATATATATTGAGAGCTCCTGTGTGTATTGGCTGCTCTGATCTGACATTCAGACCTGCATTCTGTTTGACCTGACCTTTAACCCCTACCTCTGAGTGTCTCTATTTCAGGTCTCCCTGCTTCCTCTCTCTGCTTCCTTCTTCAGCCATTATTCATCTTCTGTTTTAATATTCTACTTTGTCTTCTGTTACTTGATTCTTATATTTATATACACATGTATTTATTTATTGGATGTGTGCTACTGGTTGCTCTTGTCCCATTACTCACCATATGTTTCTTTCATTGTTTAATTCCCCAGATGTACAAGAAGGATCCCTACCTGGAGGAGCCAGTCAGAGTGAACCATGGTGGTGTAAAGCCGTCTCCGGCGGTTGGTGCCGCCCACAACCTACGAGCCACAGCCTCCGTACCAAGACGAACACCCATACAGAGATTACGATCACCCGCCCAGCCGCTACGACGGGGGTGGTTACCTGGAACCAAAGTATCGTAACTTCGACTCTCAGCTGCACTACGAGAAAAGTGTGCCTCACTACGATGAGCAGTGGCCTCCCTACAACCAGCAGACCTCTGGCCCACCACCCCACCAGCAGCAGCACCCCCCTGGGCCTGGCTACGACCCCCGGCTGCCCTATGAAGACGGACCCGAGCGAGACTACAGCCCCCCTCAGCCGCGCTACGATGACGCCCCGCTGGGCTACAACGGACGACCTCGCTACGGCAAGCCAGCAGGACCAGGACCCATCCGCCACGATGAGCCTCCTCCATCCGGCCCAGGGGGCTACGCTCCTCTACGTTACGATCAGGAGCCTCACCCTTATCCCCCTGCAACACGCTCTCCAGAGCCCCCTAAACAGTACTACCAGGGGGAGTCTGCCCAGCGGCCAGGACCTGGGCCTGCCTACAACCAGGCACCACCACAGCACCGAGGCTACAAGCCCCCACCCCAGCAGTATGAACCCATCATGAACTTTGACGCCCCCGTGCCCCCTCCCAAACCACAACCAGAGGCTCTCCGCCCCTCCCCTGGGGACACGGTGATCACCACAGCCCCCAATCCCCTTCCACCTCTCCCCCAGAGTGGAGCCGGAGGACGACCCGGCCATAAGGGCCCAGTCGGTGCTGTCCAGGGTCAAGATGTTTGAGAACAAGCGCTCTGTGTCTGTGGACCGAGCCAAGGAGGCAGGAGACGCCATAGGGCTCAGGGTAAGCATCTGGAAAACACCTCACACTCTTGTGCACGTATGTAATACTCAGTGCTTGACTGGCAGGAGCTCACTGGAGCTGAGTACCGGCCACCTCAAATTTTCTACTGCTTGAGCACCTGTTTCCTCTTATAGAATATTAGCTCAAAAGTATTGTGGAGCTCCTGCACCTAAATACAAACAGTACCAGCACCCAAAATGAGCACCGGAACCTATTACAGTCCAAGTCAAGCACTGGTAATGTCCACAGGATTACCTGACCCTGGCCTCTTCTAATGATATTTGATTGGTTCATGTGATGTCCGTAAAGGTTTACTTTTCCAGGAATTTTATTTGCATTTCTATCTTGCTCCCACAGTCAGCGGATCTGCCCACCAAACCAGGCGCGGGCATTCCTAAAGCCAACTCTCTCAGCAATCTGGACCAGGAGAAGTCGTTCAGGTAATGAGTCATAAGGGAGTACAGCACTGAGCCCTGCCACAGCACTGACCCCCACCCCCCCCCCCCACCACCACCACCACACACACACTACATCACAGCACAGATGCTGCTTTATCTCTGAGGGCCTGATGTGTCTGTTAGGGCTATCAGGTGATCCACTCTGAAGTGGATAATAGACCTTTGAAGATATGATATGAAGATGGCAGTGTACTGTATTGTATGGCTGCCGTCTTGCGTGCTCCGACCCAACTTTGCTATTATTTTGGCGTTTATCTTTACTTTTTTTTTTCACTAAATGTATCCGCTATCATTACCTATGATCGACAAATACTTTTCAACATCAGATCGGTAGTTACTAACCTCAGTTCTGGGTCCACTTTGACTCATCTGCCCTGGGCTCTTTGTGTACCTCCGACCAAATCTTTGGGCTACCCAAGAGGAAACGCCGGTGAAAACGAGGCAGGAGAGCGGGCGTCCTGGTGAGACGAAGGCGAAGGGAAAACCAGCCACTACTTCCCTCCATTCTAATGTACAGTCACTTGATAATACGATCACCATAAGGATCACCTCTGATCGCAGATATTCTATCAATGAGACTCTCGTAACTGCAAAATCCTCTGTTTTTCTAAAACATGGCATTCGGACAAGATACCCCCCATGGCTATCAAACTTGATGGATTCTCCATTCACCGAGCGGACAGGACATCGGATTCAGGGAAATCCAGAGGGGAAGGGTTATGTCTCTTCATCAACAGCAAATGGTGTGCAGACTCTAGCACAGTGGAAGGAAGTTTCAACCTATTGTTCACCTGTCTTCAAATACCTGATGGTCAAATGCTGACCCTTTTACCTCCCGAGAGAGTTTCATCTGTTATCGTGACTGCTGTATATATTCCACATCAGGACAACAACAACAAGCTGGCACTTGAGGAACTGTATGAGGCTGTAAACAAGCAGGAAACCATGCACCCGGTTGATGCTTTTCTTGTTGCCGGTGATTTTAATTCCACGCCACTCCTGCTTCCTGTTTACAAACAAAAGCTCAAACAGGAAGACCAATGACGCGCTCCATAGAAAAATGGTCTATCAGAGCAGGCTATTCTACAGGACTGCTTTGCTAGCACTGACTGGAATATGTTCATCAGGAAATGTATCGCTGACGTCATCCCCACAGTGAAGGTTTGCTGCTTCCCCAATCAAAAGCCCTGCTAAGCTAAAGGCCAGAGCTACTGCTCACAGGGCTATTGCAGTCAACCGCGAGGCTATGGCTGAGGACACGAATGCGTACAAGAAGTCCCGCTATGACCTCCGCAGAGCCATCGAAACAGGCAAAAGGGCAATATCTGAACAAGGTGGAATCCTATTACACCGGCTCTGACGCATGTGGCAGGGGCTACAGTACATTACGGACTACAAAGGAAGCCGTGATCTGCCTAACGATGCCTCTCTACCAGACAATCTCAATGCCTTTTATGCACGCTTCGACAAAAACAACAGAGCCCTGCATGAGGGCCCCCGCTGATCCGGAGGATTGGGTGATCTCTCTCTCTCTCTGAGGCTGACGTGAGTACGGTCTTTAAATGGGTCAACACTCGTAAGGCCGCAGGGCCAGACGTGTCCTCAGGGCATGTGCAGACCAGCTGGCAGGCTTCTTCACGGCCATTTTCAACCTCACCTTGTCCCAGTCTGTAATCCCCACGTTTCAAGCTGACTACCATCATTCCTGTTCCCAAAAACGACCGTCCTGTAGCACTCACATCTGTAATAATTAAGTGCTTTGAAAGGTTGGTCATGGTACACATGAACTCCATCATCCCAGACACCCTGGACCCACTCCAATTTGCATACCACCCCAAGAGATCCATAGAAGACGCAATATAAATTGCACTCCACACTGCCCTCTCCCACCAAGCCCTCCAACTTCGTCACCAAGCTCGGGACCCTGGGACTGAACACCTTCCTCTGTAACTGGATCCTGGACTTCCTGATGGTCGACCCCAGTTGGTAAGAGTAGGCAACAACACCTCTGCCACGCTGACCCTCAAGAAGGGGGGCCCCCCACAGGTGTGTGCTTAGCACCCTCCTGTACTCCCAGTTCACCCACGACTGTGGCCAAGCACGACTCCAACTCCATCAAGTTTGCTGACCACGCGGCGGTGGAAGACCTGATCACCAACGGCAATGAGACAGGGGAGGTCAGAGACCTGGCATTGTGGTACCAGGACAACAACTTCTCCCTCAACGTCAGCAAGACCAACAAGCTGATCTTGGACTACAGGAAACAGGGGAGGGTGCACACCCTCATCCACATCGACAGGGGCCGCAGTGGAGAGGGTCAAGAGCTTCAAGTTCCTCTGTGTCCACATCACTGAGGACTTAACGTGGTCCTCTCACACCAGCACAGTCGTGAAGAAGGCACGGCAGCGCCTCTTCTCCCTCAGGAGGCTGAAACTATTTGTTATGGCCTCTCAGATCCTCAGGAACTTTTACAGCTGCACCATCAAGAGCATCCTGACTGGTTGTATCACCGTCTGGTATGGCAGCTGCACCGCCCTTTACCGGAAAGCCCTACATAGGGAGGTGCGGACGGCCCAGTGCATCACTGGGAGTGAGCTCCCAGCCGTCCAGGAAGTACATTCCAGGGTGTGTCTGAGAACTGTTGTCCATACTCCCGTCCGGCAGGCGGTACAGGTGCATCAAGGCTCAGACCAACAGACTCCTAAAACAGGGGTTCTCAAACATTTTGGGGCCGGGGACCCCATTTGTGATAGCAAATTCATCAGGGATCCCCTCATAATTAGAACACAACTTGAGTGAAATAAAAATAGCATACATGGAGTTTTACCATGACTTTGTGTGCATGGCCGGACGAACCAAGTCTCGGGCCATGGGAAGGAACATTTTATAGGCTTGTCTCTTTGCATTGGAGAGAAAAAATGTCTCTTATCAAGCTAATTTCCTACAATTCTAAACATTTTGTCATGGAGTAGAGAAATATTTTGTTGTTGCAGCTTCAAAGCTAATATCCTGCAATTCTAGCCATTTTTCCATGAGGCAAAGAGAAAACCTTGACTTTTTAAAGCTTCAAGTAACTGTCCAGTGTTTCCAGATTTCTATATAATATGACCTATAATTACAATATGAGTTAAATAGTTTTCCTTCCAAAATATTGTAATTCGTTATGTTAAAAAGCAGCTTTTCTGTGTTGGAATGGGCATACCCCAGGAGAGAAGGACTGCCGACCGTGGTATTGCAGGCATTGTTAGCAGAAAACAGGATCCCCCATTATAAAAATGGCAAACTAATATAAATAAAATATTGAAGACAATCATGGTACAAATAATTGCATCTAATCCACCAGATGTATGTCCTTGAACCCATTATTTTAAAATCTTTTTAGAAACGTTCTGTTTGAGGTACAAGTGGCATTTTTAAGTATTTTTTTTCCACCAATTTATACTTTGTCCACAAATACGAGTATAGGATGAGAGTCAACAACATTATTTGGGTATGAGTTAACAGAATATTAACTTTTAAGTTAGATTTTCACTGGACAGTTACTTTATATTACAGTGCATTTATGTAAAATATATATATATTTTGAGGAATACAATATTGAGTTGAAAAATGTATAATTGGAACACCTTCCTCTGTGGCCCATGTTGGCCAGGGTTAAGAACATACATTGTAGATTAAATGTCCAACAACTACTGCTCCCCCTCATACCTACGCTGCTGCTAAAATGATTATTAATTGCCATTAGTATGTACTGTATCTATTTATCCTTCTACTGGTCGCTATTACTCCTGTTTACATGTATATATTCCTGCTACCAGTCACTTTCAGACCTGTTTACATGACACTTGCACTCACACACTGACATTAACACTTACATACATACACACTCACCACCACGCACACACCCACCACTTATGCTTCTGCCATACTGCTTACTATTACTATTATTATTATTATTTATCCTGCTACCAGTCCTAAGCCCTGCCTACATGTACATATCTACCTCAAATACTGTACATTTACCCTGTATATGGCTTCCTCTCTTATTTCTCGTGTTTTGTTTATTTTTATATTGAATACTGCACTGTTGGGTAGGGCTTGCAAGTTAAGCATTTCACTATACTTGTGCATGTGATAAATACAACTTGAAAATAAACAATGCTGCTGCCATAAGACAGTGCTTCTGCCTATCACTGGTGCTGCTGTTTGCTGCTCTTGGTCTTGGAGCTCCACCCGGTGGACACTAAGAGAAACTACCTTCCAACTCTGCACACTGACTGGTGCATTAATATGCTAAATGCATATTGCAGAGGCTGTCCAGTACACATGTTTGTCATTGTAATTCTGTTTAATTGTTATATGGTCAATTTTAGTGATTTAGAGATTGAAACAAACGCACCACAATATACTTTAGAGGAATTTCTTTATGTATGGTTTATCTGGTATTTTAATTAACCTCCTCACATTGACTAACCCCCTCTTTATCCCTCTACTCTGTCCTCAGAGTCCCTGAGCCTCAGAAGCCCCGGGAGGTGTCAGATGATGACATAGTGCGCTCCAACCACTACGACCCAGATGAAGACGAGGAGTACTACAGGAAACAGCTGTCCTACTTTGACCGGCGCAGCTTGGACGCAGGCAAGGCACCTACTCAGACAACACCTGTCATCGCAACCAAACCTGCTGCTCAGCCACAAGCACATCCCGGATACAACTACCCCAGGTAACGCACTCCCATGCATCACTCTCTTTCTGGGATATGTAGTAGGAGTGGAGCGTTCCCGATTTGACTGAAGCGTGGAGCGAGCTTCCCAAAGGCTTGAGCGTCGGTCTTCTCGCCCGCCAATTTCCCAGTAGCGCTCACTTCACAAGCTCAGGGCATGCCCGGCCCAGCATTCATTTTTTATCTATTTCTGTGCTGCTATAGCCCCTTGCTTTAGCTACTGTCATATAGTATGCTAAATATTTTCATAAAGAAACTGATAAAACACACAGGTGGAGAAAAAAAAAGGTGACTTACAAAGATGAGGGAGTGCAGTGATGTAGTGTCCACAACTAAAGCATCATTGTGGAATCTGAAAAGACAGAATTCCCGAAAGCATGATGGTGTACTTTACTACGTGCACATGCTAACAGAAAGGAACGAGATGGGTAGCTAGTATTTATCTAGTGTGTCCCTGTAGCAAAGTATTTATAAACAAAAAATCAGATCTCTTAAAAGTTTTGTTCATTTTCATTATATTATCTATACAATAGGTCATCATTGATTTTGGCCCAATAGGCCTGGCATATTACCCTCTTTCAAGGAGGTTTCTGTTTTGATAGGGTTATTTTACCTAAAATCCGTTAGGCCTACCAACAGAAAAATGTGAATAAAACTACGCATCCCTGCCCAGCCTGGCAAGAGTGGCCTGAAGGGTGTTTAGCTTCCCCAGTGGCTCTGCCAGCTCTAAGAGGGTATTCTTCACTGCTGGCCGGCTCTCCAGGCACCATCGCATGAGCCTGAATACTCTGGCCAAACTTCAATGGCAGTGTAGATGGAGCCTAATAAGGCATTTTTCCATTGAATTTGTATCTAATTCTAAGTAAGTCACAGCCTATATGTGCAAATTATAGACTATAATGATTTAATACAACATAATGTTGTTTAAATGCTGAGCGCTTAATGTCCCTGCCAGCCTAGTGTGTCACACTTGCAAATGCTTCAAAATGTATTTCTTTGTAGGCTAATAGCCTTGAAATAATATAGCCTAAATAATTCATTTCCGTTCCTTCTTAGGCTACCTGTCTGGCTCCTGACCTATTTAGAGTGTTTATATGCTGTTTAATTCGATGAGCACTTCTTACAGTCACCTTTTCATGTTGTTTATTAAAATACTTTTCATTCAAATCATATGGTTTGGTTTCAATACTTCAAAACCAAATGGTAGGGCCAGGTAGTCACAAAAATAGATGGGTGTTGGTTAAATTGTGATTTATTTCAGCTTTATTTAACTTGGCAAGTCAGTTAAAAACAAATTCTTATTTACAATGACGGCCTACCCCGGCCAAACCCGGACGACACTGGGCCAATTGTGCGCCGCCCTATGGTACTCCCAATCACGGCCGGATTGTGATACAGCCTGGAATCAAACCAGGGTCTGTAGTGACGCCTCTAGCACTGAGACGCAGTGCCTTAGACCGCTGCGCCACTTGGGAGCCCAATAATGAATGGAGCGAATGCGTTTTTTAGCGGCGCGGTTGGAAAGGACGTGAAGTGCCGGAGCGGTGCGCGAGTGGGATTTCCAACCGCTCTACTCCGCTCACATTCTCTGGTGGGAGACACAATATAGCTTACTCTCCCCCCTGCAGCACACTCACCCCACAGAAACCTCATGGGGGTCTAAAGCTTTTAATCTCAGCTACACACACACACACACACACACTACTCCTGGGGGTCTAAAGCTAGGCTATAGTATATTTCTCAGCAACACACTCTACCGCCACCAGAACATTGATTCACCCTGCCTTGGAAATGGTTTTCTTATAGTTGAAAGGACAGAGTTGGTGGTTGGCCCATGCTGACAAATGAAAAACTACTTTTTGAAGGCGAGCTGTTTTTTTTGTTATCCTCCTGGGCGGCAGTAGAAGGGTTACTTTGATGTACCACACTGTGTGCAATCTCCACCTCAGTCAAAGACCATGCCAAAGATACAAGATTAAGTGTTGGAAGGGAAAAATACCATCACAGTATTCTTTTATTCTGAATTTCTTTCATCTTTCTTTCAACTATCAACAATAGGTTTCACTGTTCTTACGAGGTGTTTTACCACTGTAAAACTAGCCTCGAGACTTCCAGGCTACTTTGGATGTCAAAGCTGCATCGTATGCGTCAGTATTGCTATTTGCTTCAGTATTGCTGTGCTCCGTTCTCCTATGTGTTGTTTTGCCAAACTTTGTTTTAGTAGGGCCGTGTCTGCATGGTTTTTGGCCCATTCTGTTATTAGCTAATTAACAAAACCATTCACTTGTAACTCTGCTACAAAATTACCAATTGTAGTGGAAGGCATATTTTTTAAAGTGTGTTTTGGAGAAGCAATCTGTGTAAATGAATACAGTGAATTAACTAGATGGAGCCACTGTGTTTTATTAAAACTAACAGTCTCACTGGACTGCAGTAATTGAACCTTTCTCTTGAGGATACATGACACGTCACTGGTGTATCTCTGTTTAGGACTAGATTTTTTGAAGTAGTAATGTTTTGAAGTGACAGACTGAGATGCATTATTTCAAATCAGTGATTCTAACCCTGGCCTGAATTCATCTTTACCTTAAACCCATATGTTTGTGCCATCATTGTGACATTGTTTGAATGTGCTCTTGTGTTTTTTACAGGGCAGAGTCAGTGGAGAAGGTCAGTCCTGTGGAGAGGAGATATGAACCTGTTCCCCAGGTTACCCCTGCTGCCCCACCTGCCATTCTGCCCAAACCCACCTCACCTGAGGGTAAGCGCTATAGTGTAGGACACACGCTAGTCTAGTTCTACATGCAGTATTTTAATCTAAAAATATAATACTCACACACACTCACAGTGACTCACTTACCAGATCCCCATGACTCTCCCAAAGCAGACACAGTCACGACCAACTACCTGCCCCAGAAGAGTTACCCTGAGAAGTCTCCAGTGAACGGCACGGCAATGAAGGACCAACCCAAGATCCCGGCCAATACCAGCTACAACCGCTACGTCCCCAAGCCCTACACCAACTCCGCCAAGCCCTTCGAGAGGAAGTTTGACAGCCCCAAGTTCAACCACAACCTGCTGCCCAACAACAAAACAGACCTGGCCCCAGCCATCAAGGCCCCAGCCAACAGCACAGCCCCAGCCAAGCCCCAGATCTCCCCCCAGCCTACAGACCTGGACTCTGGCCTGGACACCTTCACACGCACCATTGGACAACAGGTCCAAGTACCAGCACAACAACATCAACGCTGTGCCCAAGGCCATCCCTGTCAGGTGAGAGAATTCAACATCATCCCTAGAGGGGTATCCTACCCACTGGCTGAACTATACTGGGTTCAGTTATAATATATAGATTATAGTGTTATCGCTTCACTTCATGTATTATGCAAGAACCACACCAGGAGTGAGGAGTGACTCTGTGCATGGCTAGAGAAAAGAAAGCATACAAAGTCACATGGTCATGTTTCTTACAGTTCTATAGTTGACACATTGAATGATACCAATGCTTTTGCCCGTCCAGAAGGTGTCACAAGTGTTCCAGAGGCTGGCTCTAACTGGCCTCTATGTTCTGGTATCTGACTGTGACAACTCTCTCCCCCCTGTAGCCCCAGTGCTCTGGAGGATGATGATGAGGATGAAGGTCACACGGTGGTGGCCACGGCCCGGGGGATCTTCAACTGTAATGGAGGGGTGCTGAGCTCCATCGAGACGGGTGTCAGCATCATCATCCCACAGGGGGCCATCCCTGAGGGCGTGGAACAGGAGATCTACTTCAAGGTCTGCCGGGACAACAGCATCCTGCCCCCCCTGGACAAGGAGAAAGGTCAGACATGGAGTCATGGTACACAGGAGTTAGAAGATTTCACATGGGGTCTTTCGCCAAGCTTTATTCCACTCTTAAGATATTCTATTCCTCAGTTTTAAGGTACCTTATATGCTGGCTGTACAGTGGTTATTAGAAGTATTCACCCCCTCTTGGATTTTTTGACATTTTGATGCGTTACAAGGTGGGATTGAAATAGATTTAATAGTGATTTTTTTTGTCATTGATCTACACAAAATACTCCATAATGTCAAAGTAAAAATAAAAGTATATTTATTTTTTAACAAATTATTTAAAATTAAATAACTAAAATATAGTTGTTGCATAAGTATTCACCCCCTTTGTTATGGCAGGCCTAAATTAGTTCATGAGTAAAATGTTGCTTAACAAATCACATAATCAGTTACAGCTACGTGAAATAATATGTGTTGACATTATTTTTTAAATGACTACCCCCTTCCTCTGTCCCTCATACATACAACATCTGTAAGGTCCCTCAGTCAAGTATTGAATTTCAAGCACAGATTCAACTACAAAGACCAGCAAGCTTTTCAAAAGCCTCATAAAGAAGGGCAGTGATAGGTAGATGGGTAACAATAACAAATGTGAGATTGAATATCTCTTTAAGCATGGTCAAGTTAATAATTATGCTGTGGATGATGTACTAAACCACCCAGACACATCAAAGATGCAGTCGTCCTTCTGAACTGAGCTGCAGGACAGGAAGGAAACTGCTCAGGGATGTCACCATGAGGCCATTGGTGATTTTAAAACAGCTACAGAGTTCCTTGGCTGTAATGGGTGAACTGAGGATGGATCAACAAGATTAGTGACTCCACAATAATGACCTAAATGACAGAGTGAAAAGACAACAACAAAGTAATACTGCAAGAAAACATGGCAAAAGGAATATACTTTTTGGCCTAAATGCAAAGCCTTATGTTTGGGGCAAATCCAACACATCACCAGAGTAACTGCCTCATTATTTTCAAGCATTGCTGCATCAGGGTATGGGTATGCTTGACATCGGCAAAGACTGGAGAGTTTTTCAGGATTATAAAAAAAAAAAACGGGATGTCGCTAAGCACAGGCAAAATCCTAGAGGAAAACCTAATTCAGTCTGCTTTACACCAGACACTGGGAGAATAATTCACCTTTCAGCAGGACAATAACCTACAACACAAGGCCAAATCTACACTGGAGTTGCTTACCAAGAAGACAGTGAATGTTCCTGAGTGGCCAAGTTACAGTTTTGACATAAATCTGCTTGAAAATCTTTGGCAAGACTTGAAAGTTGCTGTCTAGCCATGATCCCCAACATCTTGACAGAGCTTGAAGAATTTTGAAAATAATTATGGGCAAATATTGCACAATCCAGGTGTGCAAAGCTCTTAGAGACTTACCCAAGAAGACTCACAGCTGTAATCGATGCCAAAGGTGTTTCTAACAAGTATTGACTCAGGGGGTGAATACTTATCTAATCAAGGTGTATTAGTGTTTTATTTTTCATTAATCAAAAAAATACACTTTGACATTATAGAGTATTTTGTGTAGATCGTTGACAAAAGAAATGACAGTTAAATCCATTTTAATCACACATTGTAACACAATAAAATGATAGGCACTGTATTTAATGTATCAGTTAGTTTACTCACCAATGTATTCATGAGATAATGTTGTTTTCACAGATCATATATCATCTCTCTCTTCTCTCTTGTCTTCTCTCTTTAAATTTTTCGAGGATAGGTATATTTTCCTTTGGTCTTTTAATGGTTCTCATTGTCTTAAATGTTCACCCTGCCTGTTTAAACCCATTAAGGAGCCCAACAGCTTCAGTGATCTTAGGAACCCTGTGTGTATGTGTATTAGCCTCTAACCCTGTGGTGTGTATCTGTTTCCAGGAGAGACCCTGCTCAGCCCGCTGGTGATGTGTGGCCCTCACGGCCTCAAGTTCCTGAAACCTGTGGAGCTGCGCTTACCTCACTGTGCGTCTATGACCCCAGATGGTTGGTCTTTTGCTCTAAAATCCTCCGACTCCTCGTCGGGTACGCTGTCCTCTCTGTCCTTTTGGGGTCGGGGCTTTGGGTTGGCTTTGTGACAAATTGCTGGTTGTGGGTCACCTTGTATGATTTTTATGGTGTCATTTTTTTGGTATTTTGGTTTATTCACTCATTCATCCACTGATCTTTTATTTATTTGATGTGGTCTTCAGATCAAACTTCTTGTTATTGCTTTTTCATGCTGAAACGGCTTTCTTTCTGTTCTTTCCTCCACTTAGTGTGTATGTCATCTGTTTGACATTGATATGGTTCCATTCGACATGCATCCCGCCGATCAGTTTTACGTTGATAAGATTAGTTAGTTCTTTGTTGTAGTAAATCATTCCACATTATTTTCCTACAAGTGATTTTTCTCACATAGCCACCCAAATGTCTATCCTGAAACGCAGCGGTCAGCGGTCCTCTTACATTTGGAAGAGAACCCTCTCAGAGACAGATGCATGGTTCCCTCTGTACTAACAGATATTCTGTTGTGTATGTGAGAACAGCCTGTGGGTTGGATCTGAGATCTGTCTGTCTGGCAGCATCAGAACAGAACCGAGTCAGCTCTCCATCCGCTCCTCTCTATATGTCTTAATGGTAAACTTGGCACCGCTGTGGATTAGCTACTAATTACTCTCAGCTAGAATTGGACTTGAAGGGCTAAATGAGCCTACTGCTGCCTCGTTGGCTTGTTCGTTTGTTGTCCTGCTTCATTGTAGAAGGATTACAGGGCTGTGCTCTAATCCTCTTCTTGTAAAACAAGGCACTTTAGCTTCATTTAGGCTCTACTTGTGTGTTGCTCCTCACAGAGTCTGACTCTGATCTCCAGTTGGGTGCTGAGCTGCCCAGGCCCAATGGGAGTTTCCAGTAGAGAAGCAGCGTAGTGTGTGACTGAATGGTCTTGGTTTGGAATGGTTCTGAAAGAACTCTGCTCACAGACGGGAGAGATTCAATCCAAACTACACATGATCAGTTTACTTCTGACAATACATGACCTTAATGTACTGATGTCATAATGAGTTTCACAGTGACATTCCTCCTCCTTCTGCACTGGCTAATTGGGAACCTTTAACAAATCATCTGAGTCATTGACAATTGATCTGAGTAAAATCACTTAAACGCCTCTTGGTCCTCATATGGATCCTATCTGATAGGACTTGTTATTGCTCAAATCCATTTGACATTTAGGAGTAATTACACTATAATGATTATGATGCATTATCCTCCCTTGTGATTTCCTATCAGAACAACAAAGCATGCTAAAAGCCTGCAATTTCTCAGCACTTTGATCTGAAGATCTCATAAAACTCACTTTACTCACATGGCACTGAGGGATTGAATGCAATTATCTGAAATAACAGTGCTTTAAAATGCAACTGCATTGTGGTTTGGAAGAAATGGTGCAGTTTAGTGTAACAGTTTTGAGTCTAAAGCCATTTTTTAAAACAATTATTTAAATTGGTTATTCTGTGGTGGCAATAGTCTTGGCTCAAGGGCTGGAACCTACCAATTAATTGCAAATTACAGTTGCTGCCAGTACATACTCTATCCTTAAGAGCTATAATTTGCAATCAAGGGTGGTTTTAGCAATGTAGTGTGAAGTTTACTTCTGTCAAGCTACATCCTGGGGTGTGTACCACAAACAGCATGTATACAGTTCATATGGCTTTAATGGAACAAAGGGGATTTTAGTTTAGTGTTTGGAGCTTGCTGACTGTTAAGTTTAGCATGAAGTGCATTATGTATTATGAACCTTATACCCTTTCTCCACCTGTTATCATTACCATGTTCCTTCTCTCTCGCACCCTCAGGTGATCCCAAGAGTTGGCAGAATCAGTCTCTCCCTGGAGATCCCAACTACCTGGTGGGAGCCAACTGTGTGTCTGTGCTCATCGACCACTTCTGAAGAGGGCAACAGCTGGCCTGTTACTGAATGTGAAACCATGGGAAAAGAGGAGCGATAACAAACACAAACACACACACACACACATACAGCTACACACCACACACACACATACAGCTACACACGCACACACACGCGCCATTTCTCCAGGGGTGGACCCTACACAATGAAGTATTTACACCCAGTGCTCCAGTGTTGTTTACTGTGCCCATGGAAGATGGAAGGAGACCGAAGTTGCCCCTACGTGCTGTCCTTTAACTCTTTCCGAGGTCTTGAAGAAAATACAAAACACAAAAAACGATTTAACCAGTGATGGAATGCATGCCCTGTGCCACTGAGTAACTCATCACATTATACACCAAGTTTTAACTTTAATTGTTACATAACAGGAAAGATGGTTTGTGAGGTTTTTACTATTGAAGTAGATGGACATACATGTAGGTGTATTTATACTATATATGCATACAGTATATATAGTATATGGTATAAATATCATTTTAAATTCAATTCTAGAAAATGGAATTCAAGAATCAGACTTCAACCTTTTTGTCACCGTTTGAATTGGCTGACTTACAACGACGGTCACATTATTACCACATTGACTTGTTTTGACGGATTTGTGAAGGTTTTGGAATTCGGTGCCAGGGAGGTGGGCAGTAAAGTGATGATGATGAAGATAATGCAGAGCCATACATTTTCTAAATATATGGCTCTGTGGTAATGATTATGGTGATAGTGAAGTTGGAAAGCATCTGCAGAAGAGAAAATGAAGATAAAGGTGGAATACTTTGAGGTGGATTTAAAGCCCAGCTCATGCCTCTAACATGCTCATCCTGTGACTAGAATGGATGTTCCTTCCTTTTTTCTGTATTTCTGTAAACTGACCTTGGATTCACTTTGTATTGAGTACCAGAACTCTACTCCTGCTGTATCAAGATCTATGCATGTGCTATGACTCAGGTCCAGAAGCCTGCTCAGTTCTCCCTCACCATGTTAAAACCCTATCTTACATTAACAAGCAGTGATGCCTTATCTGCATATTATTCACTTTTTCAGTAAAAAACCTCTGGGGTTTTTTGTAAGTTATGATGATAAATTATGGGAAAATGAAGTTATTCTTTTGCCATTTTGTCAACCCACTGTATAAATTAACTTGGGTTTAGCGCACAAGAACAATTTAGGCTAATAAAGGTATGCTTTCTTTATCTGCTATGCATATGACTTCAGAAGAAAAAGAAAAACATTACAAAAAAGACAAGTGGCTGTACATAAAGTTAGCATATGGCCTTGGTTTGTAAATGAACTTTTGTATGTCTTTGTTATTTTGTATAAAACTTAGAGAAAACTGTTTTAAAAAATGAATGAATTGACCATGGTTTACTTTGTATTCTGGTTAAACCCTTGAGCCTTGGAACTTGTAACTATTATCAGTAATAAAATCCACATTTTCTACCAATATATTCACACTACATATAAATAATAATTATCACACAAAAATATTTTTATGCTTATTTACAAAAGAGGAAAGTGCTTGGGTTAAACAACTTTGCAAACCTGTTCTTTAAAAGGGTGTGCTCTGAAAGTGTCCCCCTCATTTATTTGTGATGCTGTATTAATTTGTGCCCTGAAATGTATTTTTGTACTAATAGACCATATATTACGGCACACCAGTACTATTTTCTTTTATATGCGATAACACAGCTTCAATTGGATATTAGCTCTTCATGTGTGGCTGACTTTTTTTCTCCTTTGTGACACAATTTTAAGTATACCACTGTATTAATGAATAAAATCATTTTTAAAGTAAAGTGTTTAGTGTTTTTTTTGTCGTATTTTTGTGAGCCAAATATTCCATTCTAATAGTTTAAAGGATTCTCAGGTGAAATATGTAATCATGTTCGTTTTCTGCTTAGACAGGATTTCTGTGGTTTGATCTTCATCCATTACAAAGCTGAGAGGGGGGGAATGTGGCTGCTGTAGAATTTCTATTCTCTTTAGATACTGCGGCATGATTTAAGTGCAGTACCAGCTTGGCCGATGCAGATGGTGCTCTAGAGCCCTGTGGCTGGGTCTCCACAAGGTCAGCGCCACAGCAGGCTGGTATTCAAACTTTAGGGACTGTGAGGCTTTACCCTCTATTTGCATTATGAAGTACATTTTTACAAATATGGAGAGTTTATCAACTTGTTTTAAGGCAAATGTGTGTTTTTACTCCCAATGCACTAAAAGTGCCTTGTACTTAATCTCAATTGATGGTTCTCAACCTTTGTGAATCTTATAAAGTAGGCTTGTCTGTATGAATTATAGATGGATCATTCAAATGATAGGTTTTTTGACCCACCACCCAATGTTCTAAATGTATTAGGACAATCACAACAATGAGAGTAGGTAGGCTGATATTTAGCTATTACAAACCAGAGCCAAGGAGTCATTCATCTGTTTCACATGCATATAATTTAGAATCAGCTGGGATTTGTATTTTGAAGGAATGACATTGTCCTAACATTTGGTTGGGGCGGTGGGGGTCTATAATTTGAAGAAATGTATGAGAAATTGGTCATTTGAATTCAGACAATAAGTGCATGGTCATCTTTTTAATGGTTATATAGACTTAATTATTTGTAGACGCAATCACATAAGGCTATTTTTCGGATGCGAAGTGGCCCCTCAACACTGCACCATCGTAGTATTGATCGCCCTAAACACGCTTTGTGACAGGTCCCCATTACGCAGTATAGCGACCAAAGAACAGCGTGTAGCTAGATGCATCTCCTCTACCGCTGTTGGTAGTTTGTTGTCGTCTGTGAAAACCCTGCGCCTGTGTGAAACAGCATACCCACGGCCACGCTCTCTCTGTGGATGTAGCCTGCCGCGCGTTTGACCGTGGAATACTAGTCTACATTAAAGGGCGACATTATTCCCGTATCATTTAAGCTAGACGTTTTTACTTGCTGAGGCTCTTTAAAATGTATCCTATAGCAATGAAAATAAGGACGCAAAATGAATCCTCGTGGACTATGATTTGATGGACCATTTCTCAAGCTTTTCCTCGAAAACCGGGTTACCTTTGCTAATAGCGCGTTATCCTGTGTTTTTGCGGAATCGATTTGTGTAGCAGCACAACCCAGTCACTACGCATCTCATCCATCACACTGTTGTAGCCTTCAGAATAACCGACAATTACGCATCTGGGGATAATTAATGCAATTTAATGGAGACTCTTTCAAAGGAACCATTTAGTAGGACTGATGTTATATGCTTTTTGGACACCGTTGCTTATCAAGCTTAACGTTTGGACATAGGTTACTTTGCTGTTAGGTGCCACTTTTGGATGCTGATGGAAAAAGCTTAACCCATTTTTTTCAATAGCTGATAAATCGACTCTGTTTTCTTCGTCACAATGCCAGTCCAAGCAATGCCCCGAGGTCGTTCGCTCAGCCCGGCGTCCCTGTCCCGTAGCCTCTCCAGACTCAGAGAGTTTCGGACTCGGACTCGGATCATGCTTTCTCTCGGAGTTTCTCAGATGGTTTTAGGAAGTCTGATTTTGGCAGTCAGTTTTGCAGCTCTGGCCCTCACTACCTCACCAAGGGTCAGACATTCGTGTCCATTTTGGGCAGGTTTCTCTGTAAGTATTTCGTTAATTAAGTATGTATCTTCATCCAACATGTGGGTTTATGTGTGTGTGCTGTGGCTCAATGTTTATTGTTGTTTATAATTTTCCCCATTTCGCGGGAAACAGATCTGGCACGTGCTCACACCTGGTAGATGGCCTATCGTTGTGAAATAGCAGCTCTTATTTAGGCAAGATTAATTAGTTGCATTTTTTGTGTCATCTTGTTGCAATTTGTTTGTAATAGTATTGCTCAAAATAAATAGTCAGGCATGTTTGGGGCACTGTGTGAAGGACTTCTCTCAGCCAGAACACTGAGTGCTATTTTGGCTCTCATCTTGTTTATGGACGAGAGTCTCACATACAGATAGGCTACTGGCTTTGCAACCTGGACTCAGGGGTGACGTAACATAGTAAACTCCATTCCAGGACACTCAATTTAGTATGTTATGTTTGGGATGGTATTAATTTGTGGATGTCCATCATCCATTTCGTATGATATGTTACGAACATAGTATTAGGAATTAGAATACTAGAATGGACATTAACCTTCTTATTATGGGATTAAGGTCAGCCATTTTGGTCAGGGAGTTGGTCAACCATGGTTTTGCCAGTACTGTGATATGATATTGTGTAAAATCATGAATTGGAAGAATTTATCTGCACTGTTTGTTAGCTAGCTAGCTAGTTAGTTTTAGAGGAATGATTCCATACATTTTTCAAATTAACTGCCAACATTCCATTCAAACAATGTAGTCAATCCACAGCCATACACTGGATGAAATCAGTTGATGATAGAACTTAGACAAGTTGTAAATGCAACAAGTACTGATATTGTATCATATAATAGCACTCACAGCTTTCCAAGAAAACAGAAATGGAGACATTTAAGGTCTGTTTACATATAGTTTAGAGGCAATTTATACGGAAAATTGGTATAAAACCCCTATAAACTGTATTTATAATGATATGACAATATTTTAGGTTGACAATAATTCTATTACACAATTTCTGACACATCACACACCTTACTTTTATTTTCTTGCATAAGTAAAATCAGGATTATGCCTCTGCTGCCAATCATTCCAATTAGACTGGTTTGGATGACACAAGTCACAATAGCATTCGATTTGGCTGCTGGGGGGCAAGGAGACCCCCAGTTCCGCTCAAACCATTGACAACTATGTGCCATTTTCAAGGGCTTGTTAATTATATTTCATAACTATTTGGTTTTAATGTCATCACCTCTTGAAGAGCATAGTCAGAACTACACATTTCTGATTATTCCACATTTAGTTATACAGCAATCAGTAAACATCAATTGATCATGTATTTTCAGATACGTGAGGGTAGCCAGTTCCATTTGGCATGTAGCTAGCTAGCTAGCTAAAGCAAACAACATGTGTCATTTAGCTTCCTTCATCAGAGATTAGGCTTTTGGAAGAGCTTGACATCGTCCTGGTAAAGTTGTCAGTCGGGCTACTGTCATTACCACTATAGATGGCAAGCAAATCAAACAACATTTGGATAGAGCCATCTAGTT